TCATGAAATAATTTTTGTAAATAACGCTATGAGTTTAGGAATACTGTTATTTTAGACTGTAGCTGGTTGCTTAAAATATTCATTTTCTCTTGACATAATTATTGTAATAACGCTATGACCTTAGGAATACTGATATTGTAGACTGCAGTCTTTAATGTTTGTCAAAAGCGTGAATAATGTAATACAATGAACCTTATATTTTGTTACAATATGTGTTGAAAAATATTGAAAATACATCTTTGCGTTTTTGTTTTATATTCATTGAAAGTTAAAATTTTGACAGAACTTATCAAATTCAAATTGAAAAATGAGTTTGTATTTATAAATGTATTGAACGTTCAAGTTTTATAGCTAAGGATTGAAAATTTAAAACAAAATTTCATGTAGGTAATCAATTAATTCCTGAACCAACAAATCTAAAAATAAACATAAACCCAACTTTTTTATAGTTATTTTAAGTTGAAATATAGTCGATATAACACAAACATGACAGGTTAACACAAAGAATAACGATTTTATTCCTATTTTTGCCTGAAATTTAAATTTTTTAATTTGAAAAACAGCCCTATATACATCAGTATAATGCTTCTATTTTATTTTTCCAGCTTTAGTGATATTATTATTTTGTTCTAAAATGAACAATATCTCGTCCTCGACCGTATTGACAATAAGTAATAACAATATAAAACATCCATGACTGACATTTACTATCATATGCAATGATATTTTCTCATTGAATTCAAATTGAATACCATCCATTACAGTGAACTCCTAAGTCCTAGACACCTAATGTGCATCAGAGTGACTTCCAATTACCCTCTTTTTAAATATTATAGTGGCAGGCAATAGTATGTGGCTGGCTTGCGCAACTTTAGAAACACGAAGCTGGATCTACCTAGACTGTACTCAGTTGAATTATTTAAAAATATTTAAAAATATATTGAAATGTTATAATGTTATAATGTTATTATATTATATTACACAATGTCTGTAGGTAATCCGTTACAAAAACAATTATATATGTATATACTATAAACATTATACACTGTCGAAGTAACAAAATTTTTTCCATTTAAATTGAACTCAACAGTAGGCAGTACGCCTGTTCTACTGTAGCTGTAGGTATACATATATTATTGTGTAATGTGCAAAAACATAAAATAATTTTATAATACGCAATACGCGTTAATTTATTATAATACTTACTGTAGCCGATCTTAAAAATGGAGGGTATCTACTACTATCTACATAATAATACCTAATTAATATGTAGGAAACATACTTGTACCCTTAATTTTTTTACGAAAATTATTCATTTGTGCCTATATTGGTGTGGGATTATGAGTTAGTGGTGCGGTTTTTAGCTTATGTTTTGTGTATTACCTATGTATAATGTAATTTACTATGTTGTCATTATTGCTCTTTATTTTAATTTTTTTTTTCCATATACAAGGAATATCAGGGGATGCAACTGTATATATTATCTAACTTACTTAAATGCTATTGAATTCTATATACTTATCTATACTGTACAGGACATTATTTAGTACCCATAGTTCCGGTATGCAATGTGCCATGTGCAGCCCTGCAGGGTACAGACTGAGTGAGGGTTTTATCTGCTAAACCATCATGTCCGGAAGAATGACTAAAATAAATAAAAATACAAATATAGTTTTAATTGCTATTGGCAATTACCTATAACCTACCTATAATCTATGTATTATACTGCAGCGTTGAGGAAATGATTGGAATAAGAATTCTGGGATGCTGGTACAAAGCGCATACCTATAGATCATACCTAAAAAGAACTTGAACGCCGTGAGACTGATTTTCTAGTAGAAAAGTGTACAAAACCGTACCAAAATAAATAGCGGACGGTAGCCAGTCGAGCCTCGGCTACTTTATGTGTATTTAGTGCATTATACATATACTTTATTGTTTGCGCCGTATACAAATCATATAGATGTTTTAGTACTAAAATGTATATATTTTCAAGTCTTGTACTTGAAGTATAGTTTCACGTGTTTTATACAATGATACAGAAGACATGACCCAAGCGCTTTTAGGATTTTTCGAAGAGGGAAGGGTCTCATTTATCAAGTATCTCATTCATACTTATTTAACATAAATTGCAAAAGGTAACCTATATATGCCACAGACAAAAATTTTAATTTGTTTTGTTATTATATCATTAGGATTCATGTATGGGCAAACCTCGAGGGGACGGAGTGATCATTCACTGTAAAAATATGTCTGCATTATGACAAATATAAATACATGCGGCAGTTCTGCGGTACTAACGAATAATATGAGTAATATAATATAGTATATTGTACTCCGACGCGTAACGGTCGTTATTATAATATTATATACCTACGGTGACACTCCCGCAAATAGTTTTAACCTTCGCAGTACAGATCCCATCGAATAAAAAATGTACACTTTTGTAAAATAAAAAGGTTGAAGACAAAAATTCTGTGGATACACACTCGATCGGGCACACACATTTAACTACAATAAATAATATGTATAACAAAAAATAAAATGATACCTACAGGCTACAATGGTACAAATGTAAGATGTTTTTAGTTGTAGTACTTAACCTATTATGTATAAATTAAAATTTCAATTTTCACCCATTATCTCTACATAATTTACATCTTTAAATTAAAATGTGTAGCCATCATATTATATTATTATAGTTATAAGGTACCTACTTAAATATTATTTTAGTACACGGGAAGAACGATCGCATTCGTAAAGGTACGATTTTAGTATCTCATACATTTTCTAAGGTCTTAATAAAATCACTGTAGCTCCCTCCTGGGGAGGAATTCTATTGGGTTCGAAATCAATTTCCAACTTCGTACCTTTCCACTCCCACCCCCCGTCACGTGTTGGTAGTTGATGAGCTTTTTTCACAAAATATATTTTATTCGAAACGCCGACGCGCGCTCTTTCTGCAGCGCGGCATTCACACCGTAGGTACTGCCAAACTACATTATTATTATACATGTTACATGTATATATATATATATATATTTATATTTATATATAATATAATCGCACAATGCGTGTATAATATTTGCAAGTATATAATATATATATAGGTATACTATATTTATTATACACGCCTAGCCGAGTCAGCAAAAATCCGCGGCGTCCGATGTATTATATTGTATATACTTTATATACTTATACATAAATATATATATAGATCCTTTGTCGATCGCGGTCAGTTTTTCTTCCATATATATATTATATTATATATCGGCCGCAGTGGTCATTAAGGTTTTATTCAACAATGCACCCTTCGTCCTTTGCTCCATATACTATACACGCATGCATGTATAATATTATATATAGTGCTTATACCTGTATATGATATTATACTGAATGCTATGCGTGCATGTATGCGTATCGTGGTATTGTAATGCCATCCTGCACACAATTATTATTATTATTATTATTATTATTATTATTATACATATAAAGCGAGGTACTCCGACGACGAAATTCTCATTCCCTCTGTATACATAAAATAATATTGTATAATATATTATATTGGCACACCGCGCTATACATTATACAAAAATATAATAAAGGTACGTACGAGAGTATAATATGTGTCGTTTTGTTATATGTTGTTATTAAAACGACATGCATACCTATGGAGCTTATAGTAATAGGTATAAAATAAGTAAATCCAAATTTTTGTTTATTTATTTAAGTTTAATATTATGTGAGTTCAGAGGATAATTTTTTTAAGGGGTTATTTTTTAGAGGTCATAGCCACTACAGCACAGATACTCCAGCCCCCTCAGTTGAGCAAATGTCGATAATCTATATCAATTGCTCATTATTATATTGATTATTTGCGGATTTTAGTTAAAAGTTAAAACTTAAGAGGTAGGTATTAACATGACATAAATACACATACATGGATTATATATGGTATCTGGCTGCAATCGAATAAAATAATAATATCTTGGACCATAGTAATGAGATTTGTTTATTTCAATACCAGAGTTGTTAAAATAAACTACGGATATTCACTATGAAACCGGGCACACGAGAGGAAAGACGCTGGCTGTCTTACAAATCATCGGGGAATGTCAGTGGAACCGAAAAGGAGCTTAACCAGACATATTGTATCAAGGATGAATAGAGGACTATAGCTGCGGGCTGTCGGACCAGGTCAGCCATGTGGCTGATGCCGGCGGGCCTTTGCGGTGACCAGTCTACGTTCTCGTTGGGACCTCGAAGATGACTTAGCGCAGTGTACTACAACAATGTGGCCGAACGCGAATCAGCCGGCGGAGTAGGAGGATGCGAGCTCAACGGCGATAAACATAAAACATGGCATGCAGCGGCACTTGCAGCAGCAGCCGCCGACAGAGGATCAGGATCAGCGGGGCGAGTTTATAGAGGAGTCTACGCCGAAGGACCATGCACTGGAAATGCTGCCGCGTCCACTGGAAATCGACCCACCCGTGTTTGTTCTGTGCTTGCGAAAGCGGCTGGGCGAATCGGACGAAAAAGCCAGGTTACAGATCGAAGTGCGTGTGCCGAGTGAGTTTCGGAACCGCAGAAATGGTGACATGATTGAGGAGGAACAAAAAGACAGTGAAACTGAAGGGAATAAGAATTGACTTGGTAAATCCAAGGCAGTAAACTTATTGAAGCATTACAACAAAAGTAACGATTTTACCACAATACATGGTACCTAATAGAATATCTATATCATAAGTAAGTCCTATACTGTAACAGTAGTATGAATTGAATTTTTAATGAGTGTTACTATATAGAATATAATATATTAAAATGTTGAAGAATCGTGGAAAAATCAAAATTTTTAATTTCGTTTATTATTTTCAGCACACAAATCTAACCTGCAAGTTTCCTGTAATATGCGCCAGCTGGCGTTCTCGAAGCCTTGTCACGTTTCTATTGAAGCTGCCACCTTCACACTTCTTATTCTTTAATCAGTTTCACAGTCACCTCCAGTCACCATTTCCCGGTCCGTTGCACTCGACACGCCTCTCCGATCTGCAGCCAAAAGCTTTCTAGTCCGAACCGCCCAGCTGACCACCCACAGAACGAACACGGGTCGGTTTCCAGTAAGCGGCCACCGTTTTCGATGGTCCTTCGGCAAAGGCCGATCTTTAGACACGTCTGTATAGCTGATCCTGATCCTGGTCCTGTGGCTGCTGCCGCTGCGTGCCATAATCGCCGTTGAGCACCAACATCCTCTTGCTCCTTCGAGAGTGCTGCCGGTTGAATCTCAGTCGGTCGTGAGCTGTAGTGCACTGTGTCATATCGTCGTGGCTAAACGAGAACCACCCAGCACGCTCGGTCACCGCAGACTTCCTGGTCTGACAGTCTCCGCAAATCCTCTATTTTTGTCCTTGGTACAATATATGTCTGAGAACATGGAAATTCACTGATTTGAGCGCACCAGCATATCTCCCCTCAAATATTTGTCCGGTTTCTTCTAGACGATTGTGGAAGAAAGTCAAACGCTAGAAGCTAAAAAATTAGAATGAAAATAAAGAAAATTGTATGATATTTATTTTATTATTTTTTATTTTGTTCTAACGTGTAATAATATATGATAACAATGTTAATAAAAAAAACTGTATAGAATAATATTGTTTATATTATTATTATTTTTTTTTTATTCATAATTTATAATATTAATACATGTAATCCAGCATATTCAGTTGAGTTATAACCGTATTACATTATTTACATTAAACCGGATTTCGCAACAAACAATATACATCTATACATTTTTGAGAACATTTTGATTTATTAATTTTGTTTAATAGCAAAACATCACATAGTGTTCACAGATTTGGTACCCTTAATAACTATGCAGAATTGATTGTGTTATTTTAATACTACCCAAAAATTATATCCTTACAACTTATATATTCTACAACATCAAATCTGTTATACATTTAGTTTGTAGCATCGTTAAGGTCAAACAACAATATGTTGGCGGAAAAAAATTCAAGAATAAATAAATTTTAATTATTATAACGATAGAGAATGGTTTTGAAAGTGACGTTTCTATTTCATAGATTTTAAAGCAGAGAGATTGAATTTTGGCCGTCCAAAGCGTGTACAAATTTTCATGCGAATGACGAACTGTTGTGTGATACAAAAAATTCGTGAAATTTTTCATTTCATTGTTTTGAATTAAATTCGAATCATTGTATTTTAAATTTTTAACCTTCTGTATTTGGTTTATCTTCTCATGCAGTTGGTACAAATTTATGGAAATAAACTTATGGGGATTTATATATTTACCTGTACGGTCTTCCGATAGAGCTGACGTCATCTTCGGGTGACTATCACTTTGCATTCGACAACGGCACTACCTTGATTCGGTTTTCAGTTTTTCACGGTTGTAGGCTTGTGGTGGATCTGTATGTACGAGTATGCCTACTTTAATGAAGCAAAACAAGAACCTTTCCATATTATGGAGTGATAGAATTTTATCCTAACATACTGTTATCTGTTTGTCTTCATAGTTTATTTTCAGATTTGTAATATTTGGGTGACTGTGATTTGTCTGAAATTACATCTTGCCATACCATAACTATTGGCCGCAATACGTGGCCGCGGTGGCATGTAGCAAATAACATAAAAATGATTTCAAACGATATGGTGCCGTTGCTCATGGTGTTAATGGGTGGTACGAAATCATTGAAATAAATGTGTGAGAATCGGTAACCCGTACGTGCTTCCGATAGGTTAGGTTAGGTCGTTAGGCCTCCACATCATTGCTGTTTTCCGGATCTTCACCGATCTGTGCGACTCATCCGGACCACTTAAGCGGCTGCTTGATGTGACATCGACGCATCACACTCATCGTTTTAATTCGAGCATAGCCTAAAATACCTATTATGCTTTAATAAAGCATCAACGATGAAAATAGTATAAGCGTGTTTTTTTTTTTTATATTAATGGTGATCGAACAATTTTTCGTTTGTGTTTACTGCGCTCAAAGACAGTGCAGCTTCACACAATGTCTGTTTGATGACAAATCTAATTCAAATTTAAAAAAAATAATTGTCAAAGAATAATATTGAACTGAATAGTATTAAAATTGTATAGAAACGTATCCATGTTGGATTACAGTTTGGAGTTTTCCACAACTGGATAGCATTTTTTACCACTTTACCCCTTCATCCTTTGTATTATATTCTCTCTATTAATTAATTTTAATTTATTTACTCAGGACACTACTGAATACTGAGTGCCGATCTAATACGTGTGCGTTATGCATAATATGATATCGCCAGAATGCCCGCATCACGTGTATAGTGTTACGATGTTTGACATTTTGGTGATAACTATTTTTTTTCCCCCTTTTTCTTGTTTGGTCATTTAGTAACACTTTTTAACAGGTATTTATTTTACAAATAGTATGTGTAAAATAATTACTTATTACACATAATATTATATTGGTGTGTCGTCATGCTCTGCATTATAGGGCTTAAATAAGGGAATTCAAGTGGGCCGGTTTCATATAAGTAAATGGAAAGACATACATTTATTTTTTAGTTGAGTATCGGCTACCAATGTTATTATATACTAGCAATATAATAGAAATAATTTGATAAAAAATTAAGGGCACCAAATAGGCTTCTAAAATGTACTGTTATAGACAAAAATATAAACAGTTCTATACTTGAAATGTATATTTTTTATACTTGTAAAAACTTAATTTTTCAATAAATACGAGTAAATTAACAAGAATAATTTTTTTTAGGACTTAAGTGGCTACTTTTCTTAGTATTGTAGTTTTCAAACAGTGTTATGAATTAATTGGACATATTAGATTTACTCCGGATACATCCCCACCAGACAAGCACGTATCCAGGATCAATTTTTGGGGGGAGGGGGGGGGGTTAAAATATTTTTAAATACATAATTAATAATTATATTATAATTTGATCAATAATATTATGCACTATGAAATATTATAATATAAAAATGTATAAAAAATATAAAAAATGGTTGAATAACTACAATTTTAATTCATAAAACAAAGTCAACTTTTCGTGGCATTCTGGAAAATGTATTGATTATTTCTTCAATATCTATTTGTATACCTCGGTGGACTGACAATAAAACTAAACCTGTTTGACGATTTTCATTGCAGCTATTCCTCAAATAGGTTTTTAATCGTCTTAAATCGTCTTAAAGTTGAAAAAGAACGTTCTATAGATAAAGTTGACACCGGGAGTGTTGCAAGTATAGATATTAAACACCAAATGTTTGGATAAAGGCCTTCGACATGACGCCTAAAGTATCGATTAGGAAGTTCGTTATCGGGTACCAATTTCTATTTTTCCACCCACACCTTCAATTCTGATTCAAAAGTTTCATAAGTCGGTAAAAAGCTTTTGTAAAAATCAATGTATTTTTTAAACTCATCGCTACTTGGTTTTAATTTAATTAAACCAAAACCTTGGAATAAAATTTTGCAGCCCAGAAATAATGTAATTGTGTTTTATAGGTAAATCTTTCAATTAATTGACTTTTGAAGTAGTCTAAAAATGGCGAAAAAATTGATCTCCTATAATACTGTTCTGGCGAATCTGCCGGAATATCGTTACGATAGATAAATTACCTAATTAATCGTGGCATTTTAACCATTTCATCTACTAAGCTTAATACATTTTCGACATCTAAAAATAATTTGTGGAATTCTTCCTCACTATTTTCATGAATTGAATTAATAACTTGCACACAGATATTGACATATTGACTACACTCAGATAAATCTACACTTATTTGTTGTAAAGATTTACTTACCTCTAATGGAAGTCCCGTTGGAACTTTTCAAAGTTCCATTGGGATATTCCTTTTATATAATTGTAACTGTTTTTTGCACGGTGGGAGGCTATATATAAAGGTTTATATAAACCTATATTATAAATATTATATACCTACTTCAAAAATTTCGGGGGGGGGGGGGTTGAACCCCTATTCCGCCCCTGTACACGGGCCTGCCACCAGGAGTAACTAGGTATCAAACATTATAGAAAATAGCTTTAAATTATGGTAGACGATTGAGATAGAAACAATTACATATATTTTCTGGTTAATAAATTTCATTATTTAAATTTAATAAAGGATAAATAAATTAAAGTACTTGGCAATTATATATAATAGATAAAAATTAAACGTTATAAAAATAAATCATAGGTATAACTATGATAATTTTTAAATAATATCTTTTATAATTGTATATAATTTGTATAATTTGTATTAATAAATGTTTATTTTTAATATTTATTTTTGGCCAATAAATTATCTATCTATCTATCTATCTATCTATCTATCTATCTATGTACCCCAATATATACTTAATTAGTAAAATATTGTCTTTTAGTTAATAATAATGTATTTGATGTTTGGAAGTGAGCTATGTTCATAAGAAATTAAGAAATATCATTGAGCATTCATAAATTAACTCTTTTTCACAAAATGGACATTTCATCATCAGTAAATTATATTGTTTTTCCGTACACGAATAAATAAAGAACAAGATCATAGTTTATTTTTTAAGTTATTTATTGTTTATGAAAATAACTAACATTTATAAGGTCCACAGCGAATCTGGCGTCTTGTGTCTCAACAATTTTGGAAAACCTAGCCTTGGCATGCGCTTTTCCTATGCGCACTAGGCTTTCCAAGGCCCTGGGTGTGACAGGCATAGTTCGTTCGGTACCAGTACTAACAGCCTCCGGGGAGCGGATTCTTGCATACTCTTTTATGATAATTGCAGAAGCCTCGGTGCCTAATTGTGGTTTTATGCATTTAGCAATCGCTAAATATTTTCGCAAGAATCCGCTTTTCAATATTTCTTTTTTGACCGGCCCATGTAAGTACACTGTTTTGTTTCTCGAATACGTCGGAAATCTGCCATGATGTTGTTAATTCATGTTCCAATATGTTGGTAGTCAAAACATCCACATCTGAATTGAATGGCAACACTTCACCGTCTTGTTCTTTCGGATCTCTATATCTATGCATGTGCATTACATGGTCACTTGTCAAAATATCATTTTCACGATTAGGTTCATCCAACATGATGAACATTAAATCAAACCGAGACAATAATGAATCTTGCATACCTATGTTGCCGTTGGAGTTATACGTTGATTATACCACCAAGTGGGTTAGCAGCTGCTAAAACAGAGCACCTAGCATTAAGCTTTGCATGTATACCAGATTTTGAAATAGACACACTCCCTTGCTCCATAGCCTCATGAATAGCTACTCTGTCAATATCTGACATTTTGTCAACTTCATCAATACACACCACACCTCTGTCAGCAAGTACCATAGCCCCAGCGTCTAACTGACGACCGTCAGATGCTTTATTCGTAGTGACAGCAGCAGTCAACTCAACGCCTGTAGATCTTCTACCTGCAGTGCATAACGCAAATGGAGCAACCTGCAACACATATCTCAGCAATTGTGATTTTGACACTGACGGATCCCCAACTAATAACACATTTATATCTCCTCGTATACGTGTATTGTTGGGTAATATAGTTTCTTCTTTCTACACCACCCAACAATAAACACACAATTGCATTTTTAACTTTTTTATGGCCATGGATGCTAGGCGCTATAGAATCGGCCAGCAAATCAAATATGGCGTCCTTTTTTATTGCTAGTAATTTTCTGCAGAGGTTAACGTCTGATCCGTCTACAAAAAATTTGGCATTTTTTACGATTACGTTATTTGCAATGACCATTGTTTTTAAAAAAATGCTGCCTTTTGGTGGCGAAAAACTTCGATAAACACCAACAATCATTACCCTGTCACCAGGTTTGCACGTATCCATCAAATCATCCTCCACCAACACTTCAACAGACCGGACCAATTGCCCGGCTGGGCTTTTTTCAGCAGATTCCCTGATAGTTAATGTCTGCCGATCTTTAAATACAGAGAGCCCAGACTCTGTTTCTAGTAGATTGCCGTCATTATCTCTAGTTGGGTATCTGATATTCGATGTATTTGCCGTAAATGCGAAGTTCGGGGAAGTGTAGTTGGTGTGTCTATGCACATGCATTTGTTTAGTAGCCGGGCAATAGTGTACACTTTTTAAAAGTAGCTGTTTCACATCCGACCTCTGTGACACTACCCCCTCTAGACACACCAAACTACCTAATAATTTTATTTATCTAATAAAGTTTATATGATATATTTTAATATAAGTAAATAATAATAATAATTAAGAATATAGTACTAGTAGGTAATATATTTTTGACTGATTTTAGGTTTTATTAAAATCATAATATCAATAACATATTTAACAATATAACTTTTAAAAATAAACAATTACTTTTAAGATAAAATAAATAGTAACTTTTAGTATAAAGAATAATCAATTTGATAAAATAAAACAAAATATTAAAATAACAAAATAAAAACAAATTGTACAGAAGTTACATCATTCATTTTCTTCATCAGATATTATAGGATCATTAATATCTATGTTTGATTTCAGGCTTTTATAAAAATTATGAAATGTTTCAAGTATAAATGCCAATAATGTCATAAGATCCTTCTTTTTTTCTTCAGTTATACATAACGTATCATAGTATGCTCTCTTAATTTCCATTGAAGTTGCATTTTTCCTGTTTAAGTTCAATT